TTTCTCTGAGATTTGACTAATTCACCTAGAATCAAATTTTTATCTAGAATAATCTTCTTATAAATATTTAATATTGCGAATCAATTTAAACGCCTTTCACCGGTGCTAATTCTTAAATAGGTTTTTAACCTTTTCAAAGTTGAAAAAGACCTTTCTAGTGCAGGCGCTAATCGGTAAGATAGTTAAGATAAAAAGCAATGTTTTAATATTAGGTAGGGAATCTAATGTGTACACATGGAAAGGGCTTGCAAAGCATATTTTGGTGTCAAAGAGTACTCTATTCTGTCAAAATTTTATACCAAAATTCGACATCACAAAGTAATTTATCATACGATCCTGATAATTCATCAGAATAATCTGAGATTTTCTTAATATCCTCTCGCGCTTAGAGTTATTTAGACTCAACCGGCAAAAGAAAATAAAAGCTGTGACTAATAAATCTTTCATTTAATTGAAATAAAAATGTGTCATTAAGGGGAGTAAAAATATTTATTTTATAAAAATCCTCAATAGTAGATGCATCAATATTTAAGCTATTGGACTATCTAGAAACTATTCTAGGTATAAAAATTTCAATTCCAAACATATTAGCGATCACTTTTACTTTCTCATATTTACCAAATAATGATTCTTCTTTTATTTAAAAATTATAAAAAATTAATTTTAAATTTTAAAACTATCTTATTAGTTTAACATTATAAATTTTATTATTAAATTTATAAATCTAATTTAACTATGAGAAAAATTTACAATATATTTATATTGTTATTTAATATTTTACATATAATTTTTAATATATATTTTTAAACCATGTTATCTACTTTTATTAAGATAAATAAATTAAAATAACTCACTTTATAAAAAATTATATTTGATATATTTATATTATATTATTTAGTAATTTTAATAATAGACTTCACTTTTGTCAGACTTATTGGCTTATATTCCATTTCTTAAAAAACATTTTTGGTTCTATTTTTATATAAAAATACTTTTTCCAAGAATTTATAAATTATAATGAATAGTTTTATAAAAAAATATCATACATTCTTTCTTTCAAACTATTGTTTAAGATATATGCATACATTTTTGAGGGTCAGGGAATGGGGGGAAGACTAAGGGGGATATTTTTTATTAGCTTAAAATGATCAAAAAGTGATAAATTTCTGAAGGGGGAGGGATTTCCCCTTGTCTCCCCCCTGGCTACTCCTATAAAGTTATCATTTAAAATTTAAATTTCTTATTTATTTTTTTAAATATATTTCATTTTCATATCATATATAATTTTATTTATAAATTGGAACCATTTTTTAAATAAAATTACTTGCAATAAGAAAAAAATTCTAAAAAATAAAATTTTGGAGGTTATGGGGGCGTGGGGGGTGGGGGTGGCGGTTTCAACCCCCTAACTCCCCCCCTCTCTACGCCACTGTCCGGTGAGCAGGATAAATAATTTTGAAATATTTTAGTTTATGGTTATATTCATTTTTATAATGTGCGTCACTCATTTATGTCTAAAATTTAATTAAGTATATATAGAAATTATCAAATAAGCTTAGGTAAACCGTATTTTTTTTATGGAGCCTCTAAATTATTTTTTTCCCTGCTGCCAAAAGTCTCGGCGTGGCGTTGGTTGGGTATTAATTTTAGCATTTATTATTGATTAGCAATTCTGTCCGTGTATCTGATCGTACGTTTGAAAATGAACTTTTAAAATGACAGATTCTTCCATGGAATTTATAATATGGGTTAAGGATATCAGTTTTTTTAAAAAAAGTGGGGGGTTTGTAAAGTGCTCATAGCTTATAATATATTTTAGTTTTCCTGGCAAGATCTTTTATTGAATTTATTTTCATATCGTTAAAAGACGTGATACATATTTTTCTTTAGTTAAATAAGAAAAATTCACATAAAAGACCTATTTGAATAAGACTCAATGGTAGAACGTAATTTTGTTCTTTTATTTGCGACTTCTATATAATGTCGATATATCTGAATCTGATTTTGCAAAAAGTTAGAAATATCTTAACACACTGATGATATAATATAAAAAACAAATCTCTATAAAATTGTAAAATTTCACCACATCATCGTATTCAATATTTTCTAAGGAGAGGGTTACAGGAAAGGTAATTTTTACTGCCTCTATAAAAACTGTAGAAAAGGATTGGAACAAAAATGGGGAAAATATACCTTTGGAAAAATCCTAAAAATGTACAACTGCAGAAAAAAATCTGGTTAGTTATATTATTAATTGCGCAAGTATATCCATGGCAACAGTGGGGGGGGGAGGTATATTGTCATCTTGGTAGAGCTTGGCAAGTAAACTCGAAGCCCAAAACAGATCAATTAGAGTTAACTTGAGCGAAATGGGTAAAACTAGAAAATAATGATTCTCATTTTATTTAACTTTATAAAAACTGTTTAAAGAATGGAGTATGGTCGGGGTAAAAATAATTTTAGGCCGAGTTTAATATATACACTTTTGGCCGAGCTTAGGATCACAAAGATTGGGCTGATTGCAGAACTTTATCTTGGACATACTTAATATTAACCTCCAAACCATAATAGGTGGGAGGTTTTTTTATTTTTAGATGAGTGATTAAAGTATTCATTAAAAACAATATCACAAAAATGTTAAATCCCTGCCATATGCCTGCCTCCAGGGTCTCTTTTATTCAATAACTATTCGTGATTGATAAACCTTTTATATGACAAACGCATTGAAAAATTGCCAAAACCTTAATTTAGAAGATATAATAAATAAATATATATTTTAAAAGGGAATTTAACTATATACTACAAATGATGAAGAATAAATATCAGAGATTTGCAAAGCCCGCAAAGCCGAAACTCGCCAAGAGGGCGGAGTTGGGCTAAAAAATACCATATTTATCATAATTCTCTTATTGTAATACAATTTTAATCTCTAACTTAATTTGGCATATATAAATTTGATTCACTTAAATATGTGAAATATACTTAATTATAAATTAAGATAATACTAAATGGAAATTCTGAAGGATCCACTAAAATTTAAAATAATTTATGTTTGTCGAATATTATAATTTTATTATTGATTTGATACAGTCTAAGCAAATCCCTTTAAAATTCTTATAATTTTTTTATAATAAATTTCAATAACAAATGAAATTTTGATATGTGATTCGCTTTTCATCTTTTAGCCATTAATTAATGATAAAATTAGATATACTTAAATTATAAATTAAAATAGGAAACTAAATATGAATTGCCCATTTTTTTCATAAATATAGAAACATTCACTGATTACCAGGCACTTAACCAGGAATTAGTTATAGGGGGAGGGGAATAATTAATTTCTTTAAACAATTATTCTAGGAGTTATTTAAGATTATCTTAAGTTTTGGAAATTTATTAGGACTAGTGTCTATAAAATATTAACAATTTATACTAAACAAATTCAAATATAAATGAATGATAAAATATTAAAAGTATATCGGCGGCGTATAAATCATTATAAAATAAATGTCCCAAAAGAACTTTGTAAAAAAATAGGAATTTTTTAAGCATTTAATTTTGATATATAAGTTTAATTAGGTAATTAGTGGGTAATTTGTGGACTTTTATTAATTTTTTTAAAATATAAAAGTATTTTATATGCCAATAAATATAAATAAACGCACAAATATATTTATTAAGAATTATTACTTTTACTTATATATAAATTCATAAATTATTCATTAAAAAAATATGGTGTATTGAAAAAAAGGGAAAAAATATATTAAGAAGCTTATTATAAATTTATAATGTGAAATTCTTATTTCTTTGAAATTGACTAAATTTTTTAATGATTTCAACAGCGCTTGTTGTCAATTCCCTATGTATATTAAGAAGGGCTAACCAATTCATTTTCATAGGTAGTAGTTTCCAGTAGTTTTGTTTAAAAGGCTATCTCTATATTTCACCCAGAAAAATATTGTGCAAGCCGAAGATTTTGCTCATAGATAGCACAAATGTTTAGACATCTATCTATAAGCGATATCTCAAGAGGTAATATTTTTCTGGCTAAATTATTGAGTTAGCCGTTTTTTTTAAATCGGCTCAAATCAAGCCATTTAACAAATACTATTTTTACATTCATTATAGACACAAAATGAAAAATGTTCAAAAACTGTTTCTTATTTTGATAATAATATATTTCATTATATAAAATATTAACGTTATTAACAAAATAAAGTGTCAGCTAGAATCACTTTTAATTTATATTCATCATAAATAATAATTTTATTTATAATGGTATAATAAAAATTTTCCATCATTATCCTTATATAGAATATAGAATGTATTATATTAAATAGCAAGATTGTCGAAATATTTTATTTAGATAGATAGTTGTTGTTAATTTTATTGTTATCTCAAGATCCAGTTCAATTTTTTAAATTTATCATTTCCATGATATATTTGTATAATTTTTATAATCTGACCACATATCCATATGAAACATAGATTTGTGTCTTATCAAATAAAACATTATTATACATAAATTATAAAATATAGTTACAAAAATATAATTATTTTTGTAATTTGCCAAGTTGTATTAGGTGTAGTAATAAATCATTTTAAATAGAATGGTAAAAGCTAATATCTAAAAGTAATTGTATTAAAAATATAATTGCAGGTATTTCTATATTAACCCTCTACCCCCCCCTTCCACCTAAGCAAAAAAGGAAACTCAAATCATAGCATAAAAAGGAAATATAAATTAAAAATACTTTAAAAAAAAGGAAAATTAAAAATAAAATAAAATAAGTAACATTGGAAATCCAAATTAGCAAAAAAACCAAAATTATAAAAAAGGAAATACAAATTTTGACATACTATTCCCAATCTCAATATATAATAAAAAATAACGAGGATTTTCTTTACGTTTTCAATAAAAATAAATAAATAATATATATATGATTTTTTAATCTTGATAATTTTCCAATTTTATTTCTAACGAACTATATTTTATGGAACATAAATTTACACTAATTTAGAAATTCTATAAAACTATTTTATCTTTTTCTTTATCATAATGAGTGGTGAATTAGAAGATAATTTGAATCAAACTTTGCAAGCATTGATATCCTATATCCCAGAATTAAATAAACAAGTAAATAAATTAATTTATGTTGTGTAATTGTATTAAACAAGGGTAAAGGTGTGATAGATGATAAATTGATATTGAGACAATCATTACATTATCTTAAATATTTACAAGGCGGCTCATCCGTTATTGATACAGGTTTGTAAACTTTCATTATTTTTTAAAACATAGCCCTAATATAATTTAAATTATTTTTGGCCTGATCCGATCCCGATTTTTATTTTTCATTATTTTACGGTGGAATTTTTAAAATTAGTTAAATAATTTTGCTGTAATTTGCAAATTGTTTCAAATGGAAATTGTAAACATGAGCTGCAAATGAATTAACGATCCATTATAAGATTTCCCCACTAATTTATAAATAAAAATGATTAGTCCAGATTGAATTAAATTTTTTTTATTTAAGTCCAACAATCTTTATAAATTTTAAGCTCAGTCTGGATTTTTATAATCATATACTTCTCGTTCCGGGACGGTGTAACATTTTTTAATGTAATCATTTTGACATAAAACTTTATAAAAAATTTATGCAGAAAACTGAGTCGAAGTCGAAAATAACGATCCAGATTTTAGATCAAGGTCATGCTTTCGGCTTCAACTCGGGTCGAGGTCAAAAAATGATCCAAACTTTGAGTCGGAGTCGAAAAAATCGACCAGTTGGTTTAAGGTTAGAAAAAAGACCCAAACTTTAAGTCTATTAGAGCCTACTCGACTTAGCCGATTAACTACTACATTTCAATGACTATACTTACTATTGATATTTTATATCGAAAGTATTTTATATTTTTCCTAAAATATCGTTATTTATTTTTAGCTTTCCCTGTAACCTGTATTTATTTTTGTATGGTTTCTTCTATCATAAATGTCAGAATGACAGGTAAATCAGAAATTTCCTTTTTATTTGATGGTGGGTGAATTAGAAATTCATTTATTTTATGAGAATTAAAAAGTTACCTTTATTTTAATGAGATAATTCCGAAAATTTCTATTATTTTGATAAAATATTGAATGAAGTATGTATATAGAATCTTCAAATTCAATATGAACAAATAATTGAAACATATTTATAATTATGCATTTTTAAGATATTGTAATTTATGATCTATCATTTTTAATCTTGCAGTGTGTGAGTTTTATAGGGCAACAAAGGCGTCCATTATCAAAGGAGAAATTTTCGATTCACCCGACATTCTTGACGGGCTACTATCCACTAATAATAATCGTGTAATAAAATATATTTTCATTGGCACATCCATTTATATAAAAATAACTATTGCTTTGTATATTATAATTTTACGAGGATGAGTGAGATTAGTTGTTTTTTTCAGGGATGTGAAATAAAGGGATGTTAAATCGGACCATGAGCCCTAATGTTTTTGCTGAACCAGAACTCCAACCCGAACCATTTTTAGAAGTTGAGGGTTCAAGGTAACGAAAAAATATTTTAAAAAATTTCTTAAGGCTCTGTCCTAAATATATTGAAAAAAACCTCAAAATTTATAAATTTCGCAAATTAATAAAATTATAAAACATGTCCAAAATCTTTCTTTAATTAATATAAGCCTGTGTCCTAAATATAAAAATATAAAAAATTAATTTATTAATTTTCAAGAAAAAAATAACCTATTTTTAATGTAAAAATAAAATAGTGTTTAAATCTTACAAACTTTTTTTTTAAAAAAAATAAAAATAAATTTATTTGAATAAAAAATTTTTCAAAATTTATTTATTTGAGTAATTTTTGTAAAAAAAAACTAGTAAGTAATAAAGTATATTCTTTTTCGTATTTTATTCTTGTTTTTTTTGTTTCATATTTTTCGTTTTTTTATAAAAATAATGGAAGATTTCGGACATTCATAATTTTATTAATTTGCAAAAATTTATAAATTTTGAGGATTTTTTAAGATATATTTAAGACAGCCTAAATTTTGTAAAAATAAAAAATTAAAAAAAACGAAAAGAAAAAAAATAAAAATAAAATACATGATATGTGATGAAGGTTTCGCCCTCTAATTGTGAATACAATACTACGCTAGGTTTTTCTCAAATCTATAAAACTGGATATTTACTATAGGAGGGAAAAAATGAGGAGCCCTTCACACGTTTGTGGGGAAGCCGCACGTACTTATAAACGTAATAGTCAGAACTATTACTTAAACGTCCATAAGCTAATATAAAAAGAGTTGGGAAAACAAAAGCTTATACCCGAGAATTGCACATACTTTATGGGGTAGGGTAAGGGCTGATTTTAATTTAGCTATGTTAAATAAGAAAATTCTGTTGATGTTAGCATTTTAATAAATTTAAAGTCTTATTGTCGTTTTGACCATATAAAACATATATAATTAAATAAATATTTAATAATTTCTTAAACTCGCTATTCCCATTGAAATTCATAATTCAATTTGTTACCTTATAATTTTGCTATCCCATTGAAATTCCCAGTCCATTTTCCACACGGATTATAAGTGAATCAATTTGCAATTTTAATTATAGATGGTGTAGAAAAAGTAGATTTTTTGATCTTGGTAGTATCCATTTGCATCGGAAACTGAACCCCAAAAATTCATCATAAAAATAATAATATATTTAATATAGTTTATTTATTTATTTTCATTAAAGTTTCGACGTGAATTTAATTATTTGATGTTTTGGACACAGCTTTAATAAATTTTTATATATTTTTTGATCGTCCTCTTTTTTTTTCTGATAGGCCTATTTTTTTCTGGCGGCCTCGAATATTGGCATTTTCTTGCCGCTTTATACATGATAATATTTATAAAGTTTCGATTTCGTTCCAGTGATCTTTAGTTAAGTTGTTATTATTACACTCTGTTAGCCATATAAAAGATGTCTTAACGATGATTATTAACAAAATAAGAGAATTGCTATTTTTAGATTTATTTAAGTCATAATATTTAAGAATAAATACACTGAATAAATTTCTTTAAAAAATAAAATTTTTATATATATGGGTAAAAATGCAAATCTAATTTTATATATATTAGAAAAGTGGGATAATTTTTGTTTTCTAGCGGAGTAAAAATACTGACCATAAGATTAAATTCTAAATTGATTGGTCTTAAATTAAATTTTTAGTAAAATTTGTGAGCAAAAAGAGAGGCGATTTAAAAATCGTTTTTTAGATATTTTCTGACAAGAAAGATATTTGATATAATTTGCCTGAAAACGATAAAACGACGTCTAATTTTTCTAATTTTTTGCTCCCATTCATACTTATTGGCCGGTGGTTTTGTAAATAAATGTTTTTAACATGACGTGGTGTAATTACTATAAGAATTTTGAACCCCATGTTCCGATTCCTCAATTGTTGAAAGCAATTTTCAAAGCTCGTAAAAAGAAATAAATGGAGATTGGAACGGATTTGACACCGAGACATCATTAGCTAATTTTTGATGATTTCAGGCCGATTGATTTTGGTAGAATTTTGCATTAAAAATTCTTTTATTGTTTTGAATTTATCTAAAAAATCTGTTAGAGATTTCTGACATCTTTATATAAAGCGTTTGAGTAACGGTAACGCAAAACGTTACTCGTTACTTTAAATTTTTTCTTAAAAAATATTAAGAAAAGAAAAACATGTTTTATTGTACTATAAAATTACTTTTATTTATTTTTTAATAAAAATAATTTAAGCCGAGTTTTTAATTCATATTAAACACCATTCCTTCATTTTTATTTTAAATTCTCGTTGTTAAATTTTTAGTCGAATGTTAATCTAATTAATTTTCAATCAAAATTCAAAGTAAATGTTAATAATACTATTATTCTATTTTATAATTTATTTTAAGAATATTATGTCCATTGTACTTACTTTTTTAGATGAAGATGATTTAACCCTTCCCTGGCCCCAATTTGAAACATATTTTACAACAATAAAGAAAATTGAGGGTACAAAGTCTTCACTTTGTGGTAAATTATGTCCCAACGCAAATATTTCAACCTCAATGTCAGCAGTTCAAACTTAAAAAAGCATATGAAGGTAAGGTGAATTAATATATTATTATTTTAAACATTACTTTAATAATAAAATATTAAATCATGGGTACTATAAAATAACCATTAAAAGAAGTATTCTTTCATAATATTTTGAAGAGCTTAATCATGAATTTAAAATAAATTAAATTATACTTTAGTATAATATTTTGAAGAGCTTAATCATGAATTTAAAATAAATTAAATTATACTTTAGTATAGGTCTGGGAACAAAGATTAAAAAGTCAAGATTAACAAAATATTGGTAAACAATATCTTCTATTACTTGTCTTAGTAATACTATTGGTTTAACTTCAAATTGTTATTAAATTTAAAAAATAAAATATTGATTTAAAAAAATTTTGTTTAAATAAATATGCTTGAAAGAAAGTAGCAATCCAGAATCAGTTGGAATTAAATTTTTTCTAAGAATTATAGGAAGATAGGGAAAAGAAATATAGAAAGAAGCAGGAGAAAAGGAACTGGGAAAGTGAAGGAAAAAAGAAAGATAGGAAAGAAAACGGGGTAATGGAAAGTGAAATAAAAAATAGAAAAAAAGGGAAAGTGAAATAAAAAATAGAAAAAAAGAAAAGTGAAAGAAAAAATAGATTAAAAGGGAAAATTGAAAGAAAATGAAAATGAAAAGGAAAGAAAAAGGGTAAGGAAAAGAAAGAGCAAGGAAAAGAAAAAGGGATAGGAGGAAAAAAATCTAAAGGGAAAAAAAGATATGAGAAGGAAAAGAAAATGGGAAAATAGAAAGGCTGGAAAGGAGGGAAAGAGAAGAAAAAAAGTAAAGGAAAGGGGGAAAAAAAAGGTTGTGATGAAAATAAAAAAGGGGGGGGGAGGTAGAATTGTTAAAAATCTGATCTAGGTCGATTTTTAAAACAACCCAATTATTTTAGCCAATGGCAAAAATGTTTGCACCAACATTTTGCCAAATCTCGAGGCTTATATAATATTATTTTGTCTAAAATAATAATAGGGTCATTTTTGTAAATCGACTCAAATCAAAATTTTAATAACCCTATAAAAATTGAAAGGTAAAGAAAAATGGTAGAAAAGGAATAGAGAAAGGGAAAAGATAAAAGGAAGAAGAAGGAAAGAATAAACAACTTATTATTTTTATTGAAATAAAACTTGTAGAGGAGTCAGCTAGTATTGATACCCTTTAGAGAGCATATCCAGTGTAGTAGATTAATATCGACAGTTTGGAAATTTAAACATAGGGGTGTGGGTAGGGCGCATCCTTTTTGCTAAATCTACCTAACAACAATTTGACAAAAATGAAAATAGCCACCCTTAATAAAATGTGTATTTGAAATTCCCGTCCCTTTACAATGTTATAAATGATATTTATGATATATAGCTTTATCATTAATATATAAATATTTATTAGAGTATAAAAAGTTATTATTATATTTTTATTTTATAAATTTATAAAATGCTCTTTTAAAGAAAAAAATCTTGAAATTTAAATGACGATTGATCTATTTAAAAATAAAATAAATAAGAAAATTAATTTTGAATATTTTAATGATATAATGAAAATATTATGTATCATATTGTATTTTACACTAGTGAATAATTGTTTCCACTGATAGCAGCTTCTTGAGTGAGAGTGGTAATATCATCTTGCATAGCTTTATAATTGATATAATTAATATATTATGTAAATTTTGTAAAGATAAATTAAAATGATTTGTAAAATTTTGTAAAGATATATTAAAAGAATATTTAAGGTTTTATTTTGGCACCCTACAGTTGCTTGGTTAACTGAAGTTATAGGCTCATCTGTTAGTATAGATATTGAGAAAAGAAAAAAATAATAAATTAACAAATAAAGATTAAATAAATAAATACTTACCGATGACATGACGTAGCGATGACATGACGTAGTGGTGACATAGTGTGGATATCGGAAAATTATAATATAGATTATAATTATATATATGAAATTTTTTTTTTAAAAAGATATTATCTTATTATATATTCTTTTTGTAATACTTTTATTTATATCATATAAAAAAAAATATTTATTTTGTACATAATATTTAATTTTTTAAGTAACGAGTAGCCCGTTACTTTTTTGAATAGTCAATAACGCGCGTTCCTTTTTTAAAAAGGTAACCAGTAGGTAACGCGTCCCTTTTTTCAGACGTAACGAGTAACGATAACGTGTTTCTTTTTTTGCAGTAACGTTTACAGTACTATTTAGAATACTATTTTATACATAGCTTATGTTATTATTTTCTTCAAAATTAATATATTAAATTTTTTATATTGTTTTTTAAAACACATCATAAAATAATAAATTTAAAAAAAATATAAGAAAAATAAAATCCTCGCATTTTCCAAAATTTTAAATTTTTTGCATCCATTTAGTAGGTAAATCTTTTTTATAAATGATAATTTAATATGCTAATTAATATAATAGGAATACATTGCTTATCTTGTATATATTAATTTTTGAAAGTAAAATATTGGGACAAATACATAAAATAAAGAGAGGAAAATATATCCAATTTCTAGACATTCCATTTTTAAATAAATTAATTAATTAATAAATAATTATGTAAATGTAAATAAAAAGTTTGTAAATAGAACTGGTAATATTTTTGGCATTTTTTATTTTGTTTGATGAATACTTTCTGGATTAAATAATATAAAAGATGATGTATGTTGTTATGATAGATAATTTTTAAATTTTTTGCCATTAAATAATATCATGTTATTTGATTAATATTGACTCAATATTTTTTTATGCTCTCCAAAGCATGAACCCAAACCTTTTTTAAAATTTTTAACTCTAAACCCGAACCTGGATCCGAGTTTTCTAGATTTAAATTAATATTATATGAAATGAATTCCAGCAAAATTATTTACTTTTTTTTAACATAAACATAAACTTTTATATTTATTTAATAAGAGAAGGTAGTAAATGGAAATTCTAATTATATTTTAAAAATAAAACCTAATAGCTTAGATTTAAAATAATAACAGTAATAAACAAATTCAAATCTGTCAGATGATTTTTAGAAAATATCGGATAGGTAAAAAAAAATTTACAAATTAGACATCACATCCCTATCACCTAATATACTAGGATTTTTGAATTTTACAACCTTATTTTATCGATGATTTATCTATAGGCGGCATCTTATATCCAGACCAAATAGCAGCTCTTTTAATCAAGAAATATAATGAGGGTTACTCTGAATGCGTGAATCTAATTTTGGATTATCTAATCGAAATTGAGCAACTTGATGTTTTAGATTGTAGAGTGTACCATCTTATAGGTTATTTAAAGGTTTTTCCATTACTTAAATATTTTAATTTCTAAAGAAACAAAAAAATATTATTAAACAATATATATCTGTAAGAAAATGGAAATATATATGCGAAGTTAACTACATTAATATGTAATAATGTATATAAAATAACGATATCAAATCTAAATTGTCATGCATTGATTTAAACGATATTTGAAAATTTTGATTTTATTAGACAGTTAATCCTGAAAAGGTAACATTTATTTATTATATTGATGGCCAAATATAATTTGCCGTCCTACTATTTCTATGTTAATAATTTTATTAAATAACTATATAAATTATCATTATATGCAAGATAATTTTTATGGTAAGCAATTCATCTGACACTCTACTACTTGGTTCGAATTCGAACAATTTTTTTTTTAAACCAACCTCGATAAAATTTAGGTATTATTTAAAAAATCAAGAAATAAAGGGTAAGGTTAGTAAATTTTAATAAAATTCAGATTACAAATTTATTGATTTAGAAAATTATCAAAAATTGAGAATATCGTTAAAATTGCGTTTGGATTTGTATCATTATTGTATAAAAATAAAAGTAAAGAGGGTTACGCTTCGGTTCAGTCTGGAGCCGACTTTTAAAGACCAAACAGAACTTTAAATCATAATGTAAAAACCAAACACGAGTAACTAAACTAAGAAAAATAAAAGTTTACCTACTTTACTTCATCTATTATTAAAGCTCTTACTAATAGCCTATTACATAAAATCAACCAAGAGCCATCCACATGTTCACCAATAATACAATAAATCTCCCAACCCCCTTCAAGCCAACTGAGCTGATATCTATAAATTACTAGAATTAGGACCAAAAAAAACGTCTTGATGATTATTTAACTAACACTATGAAATCAATCTAATTCTTAACCTTTCAATTTCAATAAGAATTAGGTGCCTTAAAATTTCATCAAAAAAATATTCAGCTAGAGGACTTAATAATATATGTTATATTAAACAAACTATCTCATCTAGCACAACACCATTTAACAAACTTGAAAATTTTCTTAAGAAGAAATACTCAAATGTGAGACTCCTTCAGACATTATACCAGTTTAATTAGGAGCAGGACTCAACACCCTACATAAAATAAAAATGGGGTTCGCCTAATGGCCATAGCGTCATAAGTAATAGAATAAAATTTAGCCTAATCATATTGTTACACCTAATCAACTAGGTTTTGAGACAAAAATGGTATGCTGCAATAACTCACATTATTCTAGAAAATACCAAAGAGAATCTCCACATTTTAAAACTCGATTTTAACAAGGCTTTTCACATCATCCACAGAAATTACCAAATCCCCAGGTGGTGGTGCGCAGTTACCGTTTTTAAACAAGTTCATATCAATTATTAAAAATTTTAAACCCTTTCTAACTAAACTACTTCCTCATCTATCCTTCCTATATATTTATAATATCATATATACACTGTGATTATTAATCCTTTTATATTTAGACTCCCTATCCAATCTATAAAATCTCATAAAATATTGTTTATAAAAGGGGTCTAAAAAAGAGGTCTAAAACATTGAATTTTCTTCTTAATCATGGATGCAAGCATTACCCCCTCCCCCATAGTAGTCGGCATCGGTATCTGATATTTTCCCATCATTATTAGACTTTATATTTTATATCCTCAAGTTTCGTAAAGATAACCACTTTAAAAGACCTGAATATCCACGCAACATTCCCTCATAAGCATCATTTAAAAAGATTGGAACGGAACATTTATGATTACACGTCTCGGTGTATTTTTCATATCATACCCGCAATCCGAGGAATTTTATTTTAAATTATCCACCATCATAATAATGGTTATGAATGGATAGATGCAATTTCTAGTTATAATCTTGTCACATATCTATCACTAAAATAATTTAAGATCTCAATTAGCCTCAGGCTCAATACAAATATAGACACCTTACACATCAGCGGTCTATGCTAGATCTAGGTTGATAGCAAATGACAATCAATTGCATTGCAGATATTCTAAAGTTAATTCCGTTATCGTGGAATAAATGTCCTCATAAATAAGTTCTATCTTTCTCAATAATCGGGGATTATTATTTTCGAAAACGCACAGCATTCACTACCTAGGGGAAAACTATCTCCCATAACGCCAAGGAAAATAATTATCTCAGGTAGAGAATGTTTATGGAAATGTACAGATCTAACTGCATATCCACCTAAGGATCTATGCCCTTTATTTTTTATTGTAAATTTTTTAAAAATTTTACTTTAATGAACGAAATTTAATGAAATATTGAAAAAATATTTATAAATTTAAAAATTATGATCAAAAGTTGTTTTTCGCGAGAGGGCGGTTTCACAAAAAGTTTGAGCATCGTGTGTGAATTAAAAGCATGAATATGCGAGCTGTGAATAAAATATTCTATCGCACCCACCTCTATTAGCAAAAAATATATTTAAAAAAATTAGTCGGCCCCTCGCGTGTGATTATTCATGTATAGACATATTTGGAAAATAATAACATTCCACAGAGATTGCAAAATCTAATAAAATATTAAAATAACCTTTCTATCAAACTATAATATTAATTGGCACCACTCTTGGTAATTTTGGAAACTCATTCGTGAATTTCTAAAAATATTTTGGTAGGAAAATTTTCCACAATACTGGAAAGCTGTGGAAAGCTTCTAAATTCGACAAAAAATCGGATTAGAAATAGGCAGGTCAAATGTAATCCCAATACATAAGTGCATGTATGTATTTTTTTTAATATTGAACATTATTATATAAATAAAAAGTGACATAATTTTAAAAAAAGGAGAAAAAGTAAGTGCATTATAATTTAATCCACTTTAGAATTTCGATTTGAATCATTTGCTAATGAAAATGAGAATATTATATTAACTCATCTACTAAATTCTATTTCCAAATATGACATGGATGGTTTATTATTCCGATGAACTCACTCGGCCATAAATTTTTCTAAAATATAATTTAAAAATATTAGACATAAAAATAATTTTCTTTGGGAATATAAATACGAATTTATTCAATCTCTATTTAAAATGTAATCCATCAAAATATAAGTAAATATATTATATAAAAATACAAAAAGCATTTAGTAGGTGATTTAGTCGAACGATATTTTGTAATAAACAATTTTTTAAGTAGTTAGTCGAGCGGTATAGCAATAAGTGGTTAAGGTGAGCGATATTTTCAAGAGTTGTTAAGTTTATTTTTAAATCTAGATAAAAATACAAACGTATATATAGATACAATTTTAAAAATGTGTCTGTCGATAGATACCATTTTTATCGTACTTATATAGAGTTCACCATTGTTCTCGAACTGAAACTCTCATTATGAGAACACAAAATACGTAAACAACATTTTTATATTTTGTTCACATTAAATTTGAACATCATATAAAAAATTAATTAAAAAAATGTAAATACCCTGATTTTTATTGTTCATTTGAACAAATTCTCATTTAAAATGAGCATTTATTTAAAAAAATTTTTTTTACATTTAACTTATAATTCATTTATTAAAAGCTAGCGGAATAGAAAATTATTTTAAAAATTCTAATAAATTTATTTGCTTAAAATAATTTTGTGCATCAATGACATTGTTTTTGATGAGATTAAATTCAGATGTATTATAATATAGGAATTAACTTTATTAAATCGAGATATAAGTAATACAATTTTATGAAGATACAGGGTTCCCATTCAAAAAAGGAAAAGTCCAAATCAAAAAAGGAAAAGTCTCAATCATAAAAGGAAAAGGTCTGATCAAAAAAGGAAAAGGGTCAATCATAAAAGGAAAAGGTTCAATCAAAAAAGGAAAAGGTCCAAACAAAAAAGGAAAAGTGTCAATCAAAAAAGGAAAATTCCCAAAAATAAAGGAAAAAGTCCGATCAAAAAAGGAAAAGTGTCAAACAAAAAAGGAAAAAGTCCGATCAAAAAAGGAAAAGTGTCAAACAAAAAAGGAAAAGGTTCAATCAAAAAAGGAAAAGTGTCAAACAAAAAAGGTAAAGGTCCAATCAAAAAAGGAAAAGTGTCAATTGAAAAAGGAAAATTCCCAAAAGGAAAGGAAAAGTGTCAATCAAAAAAGGAAAATTCTCATTCAAAAAAGGAAAATCGTAATTTTTTAAAATTTTTTTTATAAAATATTATAAATTTTTCAATTTTTATTTATTTTTGTCATTCCTTCTTATTTTATTTCCAACTTTTTGCTATTTCTTTACTTTATTTGTATCTTTTCTCAATTTATTTATCTTACTATATCTTTTCTCAATTTTTTTCTTCTCATTTTTGATAATTCTTTTGTATTTTTAAAAATACAGGGTTTCCCATCCAAATAAGGAAAAGTCCCAATCAAAAAAGGAAAAGGTTCAATCAAAAAAGGAAAAGTGTCAAACAAAAAAGGAAAAAGTTCAATCAAAAAAGGAAAATTGTCAATCAAAAAAGGAAAATTGTCAATCAAAAAAGGAAAAGTCCCAAAGATTAAGAAAAAAGTCCAATCAAAAAAGGAAAAGTGTCAAACAAAAAAGGAAAAGGTTCAATCAAAAAAGGAAAAGTGTCAAACAAAAAAGGAAAAGTGTCAATCGAAAAAGGACAATCAAAAAAGGAAAATTCCCATACAAAAAAAGGAAAATCGTAATTTTTTTAAAAAAATATATAAACTTTTCAATTTTTCTTAAATTAATTTATTTTTGTCATTCCTTCTTATTTTATTTCTAACTTTTTGCGATTTCTTTATTTTATTTGTATCTTTTCTCACCATATCTTTTCTCTATTTCTTTTCTTCTCATTTTTAATAATTCTTTTTTAAAATTATATTATTTTTTTTGGCAGACTATTTTTTACATACATATTTATAATTACAATATTAAATTAATCGTTTGGTTATAATAAATAAGTTTGAACTGTAATACCAAACGATATGTAAATTAATAAAATATAATCATTTTAAAATTCTTATATTTTTAAAATTTTAATATA